TCTTTTTTGATCAGGGGTGTCTTGCCACTGTATACTGGATGAATATGGGGAACAAAACTTGTTTCTTTAATTCATGCACTTCAGATTGAGAGGAACTGCTGTTAAGGTAAGTTAGTGTACCTGAAACTGATTTAGATGATGAGATTCTGGGCCTTGAGCCTACATTGATGCTATAAAGTTGCCTTAGGGGGTGATGAATGCATTTTCTATGTGTCAGGAACAAGAATTGTTATGGCTGGAGGGTGCATTATGGTAACTAATCTCCACAGATGGTCATCAACAAGTCTTTTCCTTCTTGTATCTTCATGCCCATTGAGAGTAAAGGTGTTTTTCCCCTTGACCTTAAATCTGTGCTGGTCCTGTAGATTACTTTGATGAATACAAAGTAGCAGAAACAATATTCTGAGATTTCTAAGCCAAGGTCCCCAAAAGATTTTCATACTTTCTACTTTTCTTGGAATGCTCATTATTTCTTGGATCCTAGCCATCATGATAAGAAGCACCATAGATCTGAGGCATCAAGACAGGTGAGAACAGGGTGGATGGAGTGTAGAAGTACAATGGACTATGGTGGAGGACTATGGGTATTCTGGTAGTGGGAGAGGTACAGTGACCACACCTGAAGGGAGACAGCTATACTTTCAAGGTATTAATGATGTCGTTTTTGGAGTTGTTGGGTTCAGAGAGTGGGGTCCTTGCGTTCACTCTGGGAAAGGTTTCACCAGAGCTCCCCTTTCACCAGCACCAGTAAGTTCCCAGGCAAGTTTCTCCATGACACAGAGACCAGAGATGTTAGTTATATCCAAAAGGGCAGGTCTATTATAAAAGGGAGAGAAGAATAAAAGACACTTGCACAGACACAAACGGGCAGAAAGGGCAGCTCGAGGGGACAAATTTGCTAAGAGAGAGGCCTATATGTTCACAGGTGGGCAGCCTTGAGGAGACCTGCCTCTGCTGAGAAAGGTCAGTGAAGACAGGCCCCAGCATGGTACAGGTCACCGGCAGGCAGGAGGCGGCTGCTCTGAAGAGGGAGAGAGTTGGCAAAAAGGAGCACCTGCATAGGCACAGGTGGGCAGAGAGACTGCTGCACTGTGCCCTGCAGATATTGCCCTGATATAGTCTTCTTCTCTTTGGGAGAGGCTCACTCCTTGATGGAGTGGTTTGTTTGTTGTTGGTTTTGAATAACTATATTGAATTTCAAAGGGCTCAGATTTCTACAATGGCTTTCAATTTCCGTATCTTTACCTTTAGGTCTGAGCTCCTGACACTCCTACAGCAGTCTGATATGGGTTTAGTGCTTTGTGATCTAGGCATTGGCGCCTCAGGATCTTAGTTCCTATAGCTGAGTTAATGACTGTTAATCCCCTTTACACCTACCTTCAGCTCTTGGCATTGTGTGAGTCGGGTTTCTGACCTTGTGGCTCCTCCTTTCCAGTTTTTTCTACCCTTATCTTGCATCAACAAGGATAAAAATACTGGCACTTCATTGAAAAAAATTAAAAAAAATAAAGAAAAGCAGCAGGAGCCCAGCCACATGATGCAAAATGGAGGAACCCCAGTACATGGAGAGGTCCTATAGAGCATTGATAGCTGTTTCCAGCTGTCAGCCAGCATCAAAGGCAGCCATGTAAATGAGCTATTTTGGACGTTTCAAGTCTAATTGAGTTCCTAGAAATTCTTCCAGTCAACATAACATGGAGTAGAATTACTTAACTGATCCTAGTGAACTTACAGAATTGTGAGAAAAATGAAATGGCTCCTTTAAAGTCAGTTATGGGGCCTCCCCTGGTGGCGCAGGCGGTTGAGCGCTGCGCTGTGAAGCTGTCCGCAGCCTCTGCAGCGCACTGGTTTGGTCCCAGACGGTCAGCGAGGGTCCTACATGGCGCTGCAGACCTCGCCTGTCTCGCCCGCTGCTCCCCTCAGTAGTGTATTTCATCAGTCTGCTGTTCTGTTCCCCGCTCTGTGTCTGGTGAATCCTCTCACCCTCCGGCACATCTGGCCTGTACCCCGGTTCTTGTATAAAATAAATAAATAAATCTTTAAAAAAAATAAAGTCAGTTAAGTTTGCTGGTATTTGTATGTAAATAATGTACATGAAGAAACCTATTTCAACCTGAGAACACATCCCCAATATTGTTCCATCTATTCATTTGTTTCTTGACTCTGTCTTGCCATCACTCTCACCTTGAAATGGAAACGATCTTGAATTTTCACTACATCACTCATTCATATTAAAAACAAAGTTTTATCACAAATGTTTTCCTATATAAAATAGTTTACACTTGTTTTTGAAAAGCTTTACAAAAATTGTAACCAAATGATACCAAATGCCAGCTTCAGTTTTCCTCAGCCAATAAAAGGAAACAGAATTTGAGAAGGAAAGTTGACAACTGAGAAGATCAATGTCCTGCTCTTTGGTAGAATGCAGGGGTATTTATACAAAGGAGTGCAAAAACGGGAAGATGGTCAAGGATCAGCATAGCCTTTTGTTGTAGGCTCTGGAGATCTGGGGAGATGGACAAGGGTTGGTACCAGCTCTGATTTATTAACCCCACCCCCATTTAATTTCCATATTATCTTCTTAGGAATGTTCTTTCTTTTCCCTAGAATGCAGGAAGACAAACTTGTTAAATGCATGAGATAGGAATGCTTATCTGGTGTGGCGGGAAGAGAGAACTGCTCACTTATCACTGCATCACTACTGCATGGAATGGCTTGAGACTTGCTTTATTTATCACTTTATTTCTTAGGTCATTCTCCCCAGTGAATTACAAAACCCACATTTTATTTTCTTGTCAATGGACATTTGGGTAGCTACAAACTGGGCTGCCTTGAACATTCTTACACACACTTAAACACATATGCAAGAATCTCTCTTAAGGTATATATGTAAAGTAGAATGGTTAGGTATTAGACTATGTGAATTCTTTACAGGAGAACATCATATTGCCTTATCAGTTTACAGCCCCACCTACAGATGTGTTCTTCATATACATCTTCATTGGTATTGCCAAATTTCTTAAAATTTAAAAACATTAATTTTACATCTATTGAATGTAAAATTATATTCATTTTGGTCTTCGTCATTTAAACATCTTTACACGTTCAGTCACATCCTCTTAAAATACCTGGTTTATCAAAAAAAAATTCCTAGAAATATAACTGCAGGACTCAGGAGTAGTGTCGGGGAGGACACAAGTGGACAGGGGACCCGATGGTCTGTGGTGGAAGACTGGTCATGGTGTGGTGTTGTATCAAGGATCTGAAGAAATGTGAACCTATTACCCCAAATCATATAGTGTGTAAATCAATGTTACCTTAATATAAAAAAATAGTTGCAGAAAAAAATCCTGATTAAATGATAATAAAATACCTGGTTTATGTCCTGTGGCCCATTTTTCTACAGGACAATGATAAAGTGGTGGGAATAGGCATTTGTGTATTCCTGATTTAAAAAGTATAGAACTTAGTCATGATTTATTATCCTTCCATAGTATGCTGAATTCCACTTAATAGTGCTTTTGACTTTCATATCTGCATTAAGTGTTACTAACTTGCAGTTTTCTGCTATTGAATGTCTGATCTAATACTAGTAAAAATTAAACTGTCCTCATAAAGTGAGCTGAAGTTATTCCTATATTATCTATTTTTTTGAAGTTTGTAGAAAATGTTCAAATAGTAAGTTCCTTGAAAGAGGGGTAAAACATCTGTAAATATGGGTTATATGTTCTGTCAAATTTTTTTTTTTTTGCTTCTCAGTATTATTGAGTAAGTCTATTCATCTTGTCCATTTCTTTTGGAGCTAATTTAAGGATTTTTATTTTTCTAGACCATTGTCTATTTTTGTCTGTTCTCAAGTATATTAAGATGCTCCTAATAGTCCCTTATTTTCATCTCAGGAGAACCAATGGGTGGGAAATCCTTTTCAACTTTGTTGTTGACTTCTCAGCCATTTTCATCTTCAATTATGCCAATTGTATTTGTCATGAAATCACCTTAGATAAGGCAATTGTGATTCTAATTCATTGACTTCTTCCTGTGATGCTTCTTTTTGCATCTACATTGTTTTGTTCTTTACTAAGTTATACATCTTTTCCTTAATTTAAGCACTTAAAGTCATTCCCCTAAAAGTGTTGTTTCTGCTGTATCACCCAATTTTTGCAAATGTAGTATTTATAATTAGGACCTAATTATATGCTTTGTTCTTTCAAATCTATCAAGTTTTTTTAACTTGTGAATCTGTTTAAACAGAGTGCTGAAAGCTGTTTTCCTATAATACTAAGAAAAATTTAAGCTTTATTACTGACCTCATTTCTGATTATCCATTTAATACCAATCTTTGAGATTTGTGGTTTTCCTTCACACTCAGCATATGGTCAATTTTTGCCAATATATTCTCAAGATTATCCTGTTTAATGTTTTGCAAAATATGTCCATTGAATCCATATTGGTATTTATATTATTCAAATGTGTTTTCACCCATTTTTTGGTTTGCTTGTCTTATCAATTGAGAGCTGTTGAAATCTCGCACTGACATTCAATTTGTTTAGTCCTACAGTTCATTCCTTTTGAGGTCACTGTATAAGGTATGCCCAAATTTACAACTGTTACATATTCCTAGTGAATTGATTCTGTTCTGTCATTTAGTGATTTGCATTTTAAATAATACTATTGTACTTTAATTTTATATCACTAAAGCTACACATTTTCTTTCGCTATTTGCCTAATGCAGTCGTTTTCATCTTTATTTTCAACCTCTCTTATATTATAGATTTTCTTTTATAAACAGCCTATAGCTAGATTCTGAAAAACTCTGATTTTGTTTAATTGGGTTGTGTAGTCATACTTATTTTTATTCGACTTAAATTATTTTACTAATTTCTTCCTTTTTTTGTATTGAGTTACTAACTTCTTATTCCATTATTTTCCTTTACAATGATTCATTAGTTATCATTTTAGCAATGACAATTACAATTTTACTATTTATATTTAACATATGTTTAAACACTATCATATTCCACTTTCTGAATAAGATCACTGAGGGCAATTTCAATTTTAATCCCTCTCCTACTATCTAAGCCATTGTCTAGTTTTTCAATAGTAACTGATTTTAAAAGTCTAATTAGTTACATGTTTAGTTATATTTACAACTTTACTTCTTAAAAAGACTTAATTATAATTGCTTTACATAAACCATGCTTTTGATTTTGATGTTTATCACTTTATCAGTTCTTCAATTTCAGATACTTTTGATAGCATTTTCCTTCTTCAAGATTATTCTTCTGCAGTTTCTTTAATGAGGTTTGTGATAAAATCTGTGTCTCATTTGAATATGTATTTCAATTTGGCATGTTACAAATTCTAAGTTAATAAAAGGCTTTTCTCAGAATTTTGAAGGTATTATTCTACCATTTTGGGGGGTACATTGTTGTTAGTGAGAAATCTGAGTATTTGTCTTGCCTTCAATGATATTTTCTCTGCTTTGATTGCTTTTAAAGTCTATGCTTGGCATCTTGTACTGACATTATATTGAGTTTGGGCATGGATTTAATCTATATATGTATTTGGGACATATTTTCTTTTTCAATATATGAATTCATGTTTTTCTACCAAATGCAGAAAATGCTATTATCTCTTCAAATATTGCCTCTCCATTTTCTCTTCCTACTACTGTCAGTCTTCATAATTCTTCTCTAAGTATCGCTTCACTTCTCTTTATATTTTCTAGTTCCTCATTTCTCCTTGCTATTCACTGGGTAATTTTAGATCTTGCTTCCAGTTTATTATCTCTCTAGCAAGTCTAATATAATATTTAATATGTCTGAGGTATTTTTATTTTTTTTCAAGTAATACAGTTGTCATTTCCAGTGTTCTATTTGGTTTTTTCAGGTGTGCTTGTGGTTCGACTGTCCTTCATGTATGTTGGTAATGAGCTTCAAGAATTTAATCCAAAGTTGTTTTACAGGTTCTCTCATGCTTTCAACTTGTGTCTTGTGTTCTGAAATTATGAAATAATATTGCCTGATCTTTATCTATGGGATCTTGCACCTAAATTAGGGAATATTGGCCTATATTTTACTTCTACCATAAACTATAGGGTAGCTGAGGGCCATTTCAATTGTCACAGGTGGGGGATCATCTCAGTTTCAGATTTCTTGTTTTTCTAGTCCCAGACAAACTGCACATGGCAGTGCTATTTACCATCTGGCAATCACAGTCCACCTGTATGCTTAATATTTATCATTCCCAATGCAAAATGTGCTCATTTTTTGTGGGGGACAAAGATAGAGGTTATTGTGCTTGAAGAATTCCCTTATTTTCTTTTAGTTTACTACTAATGCATTCAGATGTAGATTTTATTCGGGATCTACTTTTTTTTTTAGCAACTAGTCTAATGTAGTTAGAAGCAAAAGTCTTGTATTAAAACAGTATGATAATCTAACTTTAGAAAGCACGTAATTTCTATCAATCGTTCTGATCAAACCTCTATGGAAAAGTTTCCTGCCTCTCTATCAGAACTCCATCAGTATCTTGGAACTGAGTATACATTAGAGAGGTCATATGGTAGTAATTTACCCAACAGGTTGTTGTCTGTTTGCAGAAATTTCTTTTGTGCTCTCTTACTAAGATATTCAGTCAACTATTCAAATTTTCAACATCCTGATAAATATGTGATTCACATCAATAGGACTAAAATCTGTGAAAGTAAGCCATCATTTTGAACATTTAAAAAAAAAAAGATAATAATGAATTGTTGCATGCAATTCCCCTTTAGATGCATAATTTTATTTTTGGAAGCCTGAGCCACCTGTAATATAAGCAAAGCTAAACAAGGCAGCTGGTGATTTCATTTTAGGCATTACGGCAGCAGATCTGGCTGCTATTGTCTTAAGTGCAGATGGACTGTTTACATCTTTATTATTCATAATTGCTGGTCAGTGTTCACTGGATGATCAGGAAGCTCTTTATGCCTCAACCTAATCACTGAAGTAATGAAAGGAGATACCCGCAGCAAGGACTGCAACTGCAAATGCTGCAATCACACCTAAAAGTAAAACAAACACAAAACAAATGGACATGGAATGAGCAAAAGAAGACTTAGCTGATCCTAGGGTCTGAAATGTGGTTAACTGACAGGCCTAAACAACAACAACAACATACACACAAAAATACAAATGCTTATACACATATATATGTGCACCAAAAGCCAGCAAAATCTTGGAGAAAAATATATGACTAAGCTGAAAAAATAGATTGATTAAATTTATCTGGTAAACATATACTTCTCCACTGTAGCAAAACCTTAAAAGAAAATGATGTATCTCTTATAAATGTGTGCATGCTACCACATCTAAGAGAAAAATTAATATATATTTTAAAAACTTCTATAAATATTTACAGTGACATTCAGGTATCTCATGTTACTTAAACTAATAAGACACCAAAGGGCAGTGCTTCTCAATCATTTTAACACAGTCATTTGTACAGTCACTGGAAACTGCAAAAGCTCAGATTCTACCATTATAAAATCTAAGGAAGTCTGGGTTGGTGACTTTTTTAATTTTTATTTCTCCTTATTGTAAATTAAAAAAAAAAATCGATCACAGTAGCACAGCAATACACACACACACACACACACACACACACAAAATCCATATGATACAAAGAATTTAGGTAATTTAACTTTTTTAATGAATGACAAGGACAATAACTAAAGCATATGATTTTTCTCAGTCAAAAGTTTCAATACTTGAAAGCATTTCTCAAATTGGGATTCCACACTGAACAACAATCTCCATGCAGTAAGTTGGAAAAATGTTGAACTGACTGCTGTACTTCTTGGAGTTTTTAAAATGCTTAAACGCATTATAAATTTATAGACTTGAATTTGACTTTTTTCCAAAGAAAACATCAAAATCTTCAGCAACAATAATCCTGGGCATACCAGTTTAGAAAACACTGATTTTTCCTATTTATTGATTCCCCAAACTCAACAAGCTTTTCTAAGAACACAAATGAAATGATTAAGAAGTGTTATCTTTGAAGGCACTTGGAAATGCATTACTTATAAATTACTTGTAAATCTATCTCCAGGGCCTGACATTTTTCTATAGTACCAGTAAATGCTGGCTTAATCTAGTAATTTTAAGAAAATCAAAATGAAATGAAATTTTAAAATGGCAAGAAAATTCAAATCCAAAATACCATCTTTTCAACATTATAAAATAAATAAAATACCTATGTTTTGCTGAATTTTCAATACCATCGTAGTTTTAATGGGTTGTTTTGGCTGTTCATCATCTGTGTTATCCAATGAAGGTTCAGTATTTATAGAGGAACTCACGCATACTGTAAGAGGATAATAATAATAAACCCTAAATAAAATGTGGATAATTACCATTTTAAAATGAGTTTTAAAGAACATTATAAAGAACACACACTGTGAAGTCCATTTTCCTTCTACTTGATTTCTTTAATAACAGTGAATTTGTTCATTATCAAATGTAGGTGAATAAATTTTTGTGGAATATGTATCAAACTGACATCATATTTAAAATACTTTATGGTTATCTCTCCTGCCCACCTGTGACTATGAAGGTGCCTTTTTCTTTTTCCTTTTCCTAATAAGCCTCTCCTTTTAAAATGTAAAAAAAAAAAAAAGAAAATATTTTATGTAGTTTTGTAACTGACCTAAACCAGACAGTCACAGAGTCAGAGCTGAATGATTCCCACAAATTATAACTTACCTTTGGTAGCAAAGATAAACTGATACCAAAAATCAAACCAGATCATAGCTGGATAATCTTCACTCTTAAATTGGGATAATTTTTTATCACTCATTGGTGGTTTTGGCAAGCAGCAATTTCAAATTGGATACATGTTATTTTTCTTTTTTTAAATTAATTAAAAAATTATTTATTTATTTATTAAAGATTTATTTATACAAGCACTGGATACAGTCAGAATTGAGGGAGGGTGAGAGAATTCACCAGAGCCAGAGCGGGGAACAGAACAGGCAGACCGACAAAATACAATGCTGAGGGGAGCAGCGGGCGCAGCAGGAGAGATCTGCAGAGTTGCAGAGGTTGTGGACAGCTTTGCAGCCCAGTGTTCAACCGCTGCGCCACCAGGGGAGGCCCTACATATTATTTTTCTACTTCATTATGCCAACAGCAATTCATGGAAGTTGGCTTCGTTGAACATATTTAACATGGATTAAAAGCTTTTGACCGAAAAATATCCTTTGTGCACATGCTGGTGGTGTTCAGTTTTTTTCCCCTTAGTGCTAAAGAATCTGACAGAAAACCTCAACATGTAAAATAGATGAAAGTAGAATTACTCTGGTTGATGCAAGCTTGGAGGTTCCTGGAATCAGACTTCCTGTTTCCCCCAGTTAAGTGGTAGTGAAGTGCTGCTGTAGGGAACTCTAGAGAACTATGTTTGAAAGTAACCACTTCATGTTGATCCCTTTATTCACAAAGACAAGAAGTACAGACTGAGAGAGAGTAAATCCTACTGTTTAAATTCAGCACTTGGATTTAAAAAGTTCTGGCAGCCATCTCTACAATCCAATATACTAACATAGGCTTACAAGGATGATACATAAACTCACTGAAACAATTAATCTATGGTACTAAATGGATGAAAGAAAAAGAAAAAAGTAACCTACATCTCATCAAATTCCTCTGCAGAAAGGTTAACCATGACTTTCAGAAATAATTCTTAGTAACTACGTCATTAGAATCAAGAGCCTGACCATCTTCCCCACCCCCTTCAAGCATGTAACTAAAGAATTAAAAATAAATACAAAAACCATTTTCATTTTTTTCCTTCTCCTTTACCAGATTAATTACAACAGCCAACAAAGTTTTATTAAGAACTGTTTCTAGGGCATCCCTGGTGGCGCAAGGTTAGGTTAAGCACCACACTATGAAGTAATCCGCAAACCTCTGCAGCTCGAGTTCCATCCCCAGCGGGCTGGGGAGCAACCCACACAGCACAACAGACCTCTCCTGTGTCACCGTCTCACCGTCTGCTCCCCTCAGCAGTGTATTTCAGTCAATCTGCCTTTTCTGTTCCCTGCACTGTCTCTGGTGGATCCTCTCACCCCCTGCATCTCTGGCCTGTGCCCCAGCTCTCGTATGCATAAATAAATAAATCTTAAAAAAAAAAAAAAAAGAACTGTTTCTAGAACTATTCAGTCTTCTATGTTTCTATAACTTCTGGTTTTCTCAAGGGACATATACCTTAGTTCTAGTTTACGTTAGTCTACCAGCTTCAAATGGCGCAAATTCATTTATGGGTCTAGGAGTTTAATGTATAATTATATTCATGTTAAACACAAACACTTTGAATTTTCTATTAGCAAGTATTACTGCTAGAAAGTTTCTCCTTTGGGCCACTAAGATCCACAGATAACAAAAGTAATGGATAAAGGTGAATTACACCTGTTTGTTACAGGAACATTTTTCACTCAAGTATTTATATGTATGGGACATAACAGTTTTATTTGTCATGATATATTAAACATTTAATACTAAATTTTATATGGGAAATTCATGCTTCAGTAAGTCCTGTGCAAATAATTTACTTACGTCTGTGTTATTTTTAAATGTCATAAAAATCATCTTGATTTGATACAAATTGGAGATAATTTTACCAAAGCAGACAATTTTCCAAGATGAATAAGGCCCTGTCATAACAATTTGTCCATTTGTTTTTGGTGGGGGTTTGCAGGATTTTAACACAAACTGTAGATACTATGTCATTTCACCGATACTTTTAAGTTATTTGAAATATAAATGCAAATAATATGATTTAACATTAAATTAGATCTCAGCCATTTCTTAAATCCAGTTAATTTTAACTACTAACAAACCCCAAATCAGTCATGTAAGAAAATAACCTCCTTGATTAACTGTCACCAAAAGAGAAACCAAGGACCTTAGGAATGCAGACTAAGATGCAGACATGTTCTGATTCCATTCCAGGCTTTTGACAGGAAGGTAGGACAATTCAGAATCTTAAAATGAGTCTTGAACTGATTCGTTATTTTCTTCTTCATTCTTGAATATTAAATTAATGAGGTTGCACGACAGTCAATGATTTAGCCAGAAAAGTGCATCCTTGGCATTTGCTTATTTTTCCTTTATAATTAACAATGTTTAACCAAATCCCCCCAAAAAATTAATTTTAGCTCCGATATCAAGGCAGAATTGGCAAAGATGAAATTCACCAGATTTTAGAAGTGTCTCAAAATTTTAAGTGACATGGTGTTTAAGATAAAATTCATCTAAATTGTTAATTTCTACTAGGAGATGACTAATGCATCTCAGAAATTTTAAAGTCATAGTTATCCCTCACCTTAGGTGAGTCATTTTGACAAACTGTTCTTCATCCCTTAAGTCATTTAGAATGATGTTATTTTAAGATATTTACTTGGCAAAATATATATTTTTAACATAGCAACTACTTGGCAACTGTACTATACAATACTAATAAATAACAATCAGTCAAATAATAACATTAAATCTGAAAAACTAAACCTAGATACTTATAAAAAGCTTAATGTTCCTAAACGGATAGTAAATGATTTTAATTTTTGAATTTGAACATTTGAACCACTTTTTTTTAATGGTTTATTTAATATGGAAACCTGATGTGACATATTTATAAAAATCTAGATACATATAAAACATTACACTTTCATATTAGCATTTTTCATTATAATTTAGAAGGGGCATTATATTTTTCATAATATAAGTTTTATTGATTCACCATTAATTTACAATACTATATAGATTTGGAGGCATAGTTTCACCTCTATCTGTAACTAAACAGCACTCTAATGTCATTCCTACTCTCTGATGCCTTCTTTCTTCCCACAACTCTTCCTCTCCCCTCTGGTAAACACTATATTATTCACAGAATCTGAGAGAGATTTTTGTTGTGATTTGTTATGAGAAACCATCTGGTTACTGTCTTTTACTTTCTAACTTACTTTGCTTTGCATGGTCACCTGAAGTTTCATCCAAGTTACAAAAAACAAAATTTTATCCTTTCTAATAGCTGAGTAGTATTCTATTGAGTATACAGACCATAACTCTGTTATCCATTGATGGGAATTTAGATTGAGTCCACATCTTGACTATCGTGAATAAAGTTTCTATGGACATTGGGGGTATTTAAATTGTTCCAAATTAGTATTTTCATATCCTTCTAATAAATACCTAGGAAAGGTATTCCTGGATCATAAGGTATTTCTATTTTTAGATTTTTAAGGAACCTTCATACTGTTTTCCACAGCAGCTGCACCAATTTACATTCCTACTAACAGCGTATGAAAGTTCCTTTTAGGCTACAACCTTGCCAACACATGTCGTTTTTAGTCTTTTTGATGTAGGGAATTCTCACACGAATGAGACGATGTCTCACTGTGGTTTTGATCTGTAGTTCCCTAATAATAAGTGAAGCTGAGCATTATTGAGCATCTATATATAGATTTGCTAGCCATCTGTGCCCGATAGCCATCTGTATATAAAAGGTTTGTTAGTTCAAAATCTTATAATAATGCTAGCTAACATTACCCTACATTTATGTATCTGTTTATAAACCATTTCCCCTAACATGTTTACTAAATTCTTGCCCATTTCTGCTTAGAAGCATAGTTACATGAAAGAGCTAGGGAAATAAAGGTAAACAGTATAGAAAAGAAATTCAATAAAGAGGTTTCAAAACTTTCTGACATATTTAGCTAAATAATGACAATGTGTTTTGAGAAAATGTTTTTTATAGTAAAAATACCTGAAAGTTATATATTTCCACCTACTTAAGGCTGCACTTGTTTTATGAAGCACTACTTACTATGTTTGGAAGCCTAATCTTAAATGTTGGTACTATTTTCCATGAATATACTGCACATTTATATACGTAGAAATTAAACATATTTAAAAATGCCTTGGTTAGTGTGTCAAACAGAACTAGTTTTAAGGAAATCTAAAAGACATGGTATTTAAACTAGATGTCTCATAGGTAATTTCGACTACAGTATATTCAAGTTCTTAAATAATACCATATAATTACCTGTGTTTATTTCCTCTGCAATTTCTAAATCTTCTATTTGAATCATATGATCTAACATCTCTCTAAAATGGTCTTTGATTTCTTCAGCTGACTCATCGCCAAATTTATAGTCACATAACATTACAGAGGATCCTGGAATGGGGACAAAAACCCGGAGAGGAAGAATGTGGAACTCTTTTCCAGAATCTAAAAAGAGAAAGAACATTATCAATATTTAGATAGGTTTGTTACTAGTATCAATGACATATATTTGACAAGGATATGAAAGCATTTAACATATGTAAAATCTGTGCCTCCCTGGTGGCACAGGGGCTAATGTCTCAGTGCGATCAAACTATCAGCTGCCACTGTGGCATGAGTTAGATCCCTAGGCAGGGAGCTAATCCACATGATGCAGCAGACTTCTCCTGTCTTGCTAACTGCTCCCCTCAGCAGTGTATTTCAGTAGATCCACCTGTACTGCTCCCCATTCTGTGTCTGGTGACTCTTACCACTCTCCCCTGTACTTCCCCCACCCACACAGCTCTGGTCTACACCCCATTGTATGCAAAAATAAAAATAAATTATTTTTTTTTTAAAAAGAAGTAAAATCTAAAAGGCCTTTTCATTTTCTAAGAACTGCTTTACCTTAACACTGCTGGCTCTTACAAGAGACCGAAATTAAAGTCCTATAAACATAAATTTATGGCTACCTTAAGGGAAAGGATTCTGTTGATTGTGCATTGCTGTATTACCCAGTGTCCTATCAAGGAATACCCAAGAAAGAATTCTTACCCTGGTCTTAGACATTTCGTCTTTCTTATTTGTTTTAACCTTACAAGTACTGAATTTTATAAATTAATCTTGCCTTTTTCATGCAGGGAAAGAGTAAATGAATGGCTACCAACATCAAGCATATACATAATGGCATTCATTTTGTATAATCTCAACACTGACTTCATCTATATAGATGCTAGATATCAAGCAGATAGAAGTCATCAAGACATGATTTTATGTAGTAACCTCCCTATCAACTCCATCTTGTTTTATTTTCATTTTCCCCTTTCCTCATAATATTTAATATTCCTTATTAATATTTAATTTTATCTTGATACTTGTAATGCTTATTTGTAAACAGCCTTAAGTCATTTTTCAGGGAAAAAAAATAACCTGCAATTAAATAAACAACACCTATATTTCATTCTTTGAATATTCACAAAGTAAAACATATTTCCCTCAATTTCTAAGGTAGTCAGTGCTACACAAAAACATAGTTATTGTTTGGCTTAACATCATGATTCTAATGAACTATTAACAGAAATAGATTTTGTATAAAGAATGACCTTTTCAGCAACAGATATGATTTTGGAAAGATACAAAAGTACAGATGAACAAAACCAGGACTCATTCTAATAGTAACCTACATTTCCTTATTAAGAAATTAGTGGTAGCTTTCTGTAACTATAAACAGAAGATGATGAAGAATGCCTTAAGTGGGCCTCCCCGGTGGCGCAGTGGTTGAGCGCTGGGTTGCGAAGCTGCCCGCGGCCTCTGCAGCGCCGGTTCGATCCCGGCTGCTCCCCGGCCCCCGGAGGAGGGTCCCACATGGCACGCAGACCTCTCCTGCCGCCCGCTGCTCCCCTCAGCAGTGTACTTCGGTCCTTCTGCCTGCTCTGCTCCCCACTCTGCCTCTGGTGAATTCTCTCACCCTCCCGCACTTCTGACTGTACCCAGTGCTTGTATAAACAGAACAAACAAATAAATAAATAACATGCCTCTATAAAAAAAAAAAAAAAAGAATGCCTTAAGTGTCTCAGGAAACTGTAACTTGTTTTCATATGAGAACTAGGAGAACAATTTTACTCTTGATCAGACTGCCTCCTAGTTAAAAAATTATATTACTGCAATTTGTACTATAGTACATCAATTTGTCCACATACTGAAATTAGGAATATATATTTTATTTTGGGCCATAGTTGCTTGAAATGAGAAAAGTTCAAACCTTTCAAAGATAGCTATAATGTGCATGTGTAATTGGAATGTAAAATTTTAAAACTATTTCTAACTGAATTCTAGGTTTGCTGTTAAAAATAATACATTTATTTGTATTATTATACTTGCAATTTAATTTTCTGTCATATCTAAAGAGCAACAAACATGTTGCTGGAATAATTTCCTGTTAATGAAGTTAAAAATATATATATATTTATACTATATTTTTAAATTACAATGCTACACTTTCCAAAAATTATGGTTAAGAAACTTTTTAAAGGCAATTAACATAAAGTAAGTAGTTCTCCTCTTTCATTATTTCCAACATAATAGCAACTACCACTTACTAAGGTATTGGCTTACCAACTTCTGTTATGGACTTTAAAAAAATTTTATCTCACAGCATCAAAAAGTGGCTACTGCAATCCTTATTTTATATAGAAGACTCCAGACTTACAGGCTGCACTATCTGTGCACAGTCACCCTACCATTAACAGAGCAGATACAGAATTCAAGAATTTCAAGATTCTTGTTCTCCCACCAAACTCTAGTACCCATTCTCTTCACACAAGCCTCAAAGGCCACTCAATTATCAGTGAGGTTTTTTCCTTCCATTTTAAAAAAATTTAGAAAGAGGTTATGATATTGACTTCTAATAAATCAAATTTAATGTACAAATAACACAACTGTTAGTAGAAGCACCTAATTTTACTAAATATAAAATAATAGCAGCACAGTTACACAGTACCATTTTTATGAAGCATTTTGAAATGTAATAGGGCACTTAGCAATATTCTAATACCTAACATGTGATATGGTAGCTCTCTGGCACTAATGGGGATACAACCCCATGTTCTCAAAATACCAAACTTCATAATTTAGCTATTACACAAACTGTTGCTGAGGACAGTGAAGTAAATGTTTAAAACCATTAGAGTTATCACATACACAAAGTCAAGTAGTAAAAACAAAATCAAATTGACATAGCAGCCTCATCAATGTAGCTTTGTTTTTGCTATAAGATTGTGTGGTTAAGTGATCACGTCTTACTACTTCCCAAAACAAAAATCTTAACCTCATAGCTGCATAAAAGATTCAAACTTGGTCTCAAGCAAAAGCATGTGACTAGTGGGTGGAAAGTTAGGGTTATTTGTGAATTACAGGAAAGGCAAATGGTAAATCTGGTAAATTCATGAGTTTATTATATTAGGAGTATGAAAGGATTGCTTTGGGCTTCTTTGGTGGCCCAAGCATTCACTCTCAGTGCTATCACCTCTACAGCCTGAGTTCAATCTGAGCCAGGGAGCTAACCCACATATGGCGTAGCAGACCTCTCCTGTCTCGCCTTCTGCCCCTTTTGGCAGTGTATTTCAGTAGATCCACCAGTTCTGCTCCCCACTCTGACTCTGGTGAATTCTCTCAACCCCACCCCCAGTACCACTTAGCCTATATCCCAGATCTTCTATGCAAAAATAAAATAAAATAAAATAAAATAAAATAAAATAAAATAAAATAAAATAAAATAAAATAAAAGGATAACTTTGTTATCTTAGCCTACCAAACCTGACATAATGGCTATCAGTAAAACTGAAATGTGTAGTTATATAGAGGAGTCATGCTTTTTTCCTATAAACAATAAAATATTCCCTGAATAAGCTAATATATATATGTCTTAATCATTTAACTTTCAACTGTCACTCCACTCAAATCTCAATAGTAGCAAGGGGAAGATGTGTGTGCTTCAAAAAGCATATTCAGTATTATAAATTACTTTTTGAGTAAAAAAATAGCTTAATACAAATTACTGAAATGTAAGAAGACATTTATATTTCTCAAAATATGGAATAGTTATAAAAGGTTAAGATACCAACTTCTAGCTATATTTAAACTGACCAAAGCCTACAAAGTATATAAACTAATATACAAAGAAATATTTGGTAAGAGTAAGAGCAATCAATTACAAATATGCCAGAAATTAATACTGATTGAATAATCTCTTATATAATACTCAACACTAATAAATATTTTGATTCTGAATAAACCTTAAAAAAAACTTCAGGCACTAATAAAAATGTTTGCTTCATTTGGATTGAAGTTAATGTAGCATAAAAAAAAAATCCTTAAAAAATTGCTATGTTAAGAGATTTGTAATATTTTAGGGTACTGAAAAAAATTTGGCAATTAAAAAATTTTCATTCAAGAAGTTAAAGATGACACATTATTATAAAAGATATAAGTAGATATAAAAGATGACATTTATTCTATTTTGCTATCCTATTACTATATGAATTGAATACATGCAAGAAAAGTACTTAATTTTATACTCATAACTTTTTTTTCTGGACTTTCATTTAAAAGAAGATCCTCAAATAATATTTCACAACGGTCAGCAACTGTATTCAAAATATCTCTCTTCACTGCCTATGGAAAACAAAACACAATAAGTAATTAAATAATTATTTTAGATCTATATTATTTTACTACCAAATAACCTCCAGGTAACTGATTTCCCTGTATAATCATGCCCTCAAAAATAACTGATATATTATTCTACCTTCTTACTTCCAAATATTTAACATGCTTATTAACACATTATAGTTTAGTAGCAAATTTGCCTAGAATTCATCTAAGTAGAATATAAAACCTAGTAATTAATGAAACTTTGCATCTAAACAAATAATGCCAGCATTATAAATTAAGAAATGTATAACTGTGACAAAAGTTCCAGTCATCATTTTTAAAATTCTGAATTATATAGAGTATACAACACTACATAGTAATTCTGCCTATGAATACTTTTCCTATTATTTATAAAGTTCAAATTTCCCCAAAAGAAATGATTTCAAGTGTACTTATACGTCACAACTGTGGAGAACCTACTAAATGTATATAAACACCACTTTTAAAAAAGGTATCCAATAGATACAAATGAAAATTCTCTGACAAGTTATATATATTTGGTCCACCCAACAGATTAGGCCTTTATCAGTTAACTAATCAAATTAGTAATTATGAAATCTGAAGTTAAGAAAAAGTTTTTTTGAATAGCTATGTTAACATGCTCCCTTTTGTCATATACCCGTTTTTATCCTTTTGATACCTGCACAGCATCTTTAACCTTGGGTTTATTGCAGTGAATATAAGCTCTACATTTCACAGCACCCTTAAGATTTACAGAGCCGCTGCAGATCTGGACTGTGGCTGTGGATCTGTGTTCTGAATTCAAACACTGAAAGACAAAATCTGTTTAAGTTCTAATAGCCAACTATTATTAACTATATGAAATACTTAATTAAATAACATATAAATCATTTCATGGAATAAGGGATTTTTGATTGAATGAAAATATTCTTCACAAATTAAAATGTCCTAATACTTCTCCTTATAAGTTACATACTATTTTATGAGCATTTTGGATATACTTTAAAATTAAGTAGTACTACATTCAAAGTTTTTTTCTTACTAACATAAAGTACATCTAAAGTACCAATATTCAGTTAATAAATTCACTGAAAATATATTATTTGCAGATAACTCATATAAGTACTGTTAGGACGAAAGATACATTAAGAAGATATGATTTCATAGGGACATAACTATACAAAATAATGTTTACACAAAAGTAACTGAGACACAAAGCAGGATGTAATAAATATGCCAAGATAAAAAGCAACACATAGACACTTATTTGTATACTTTAAATTCATAACTCAGACTAAAAATAATGCCATGCTCTAGAGCAAAAACAAAATTTACTTGTGACCAGAAAATGATAATAAAAAACTATCTTTAGAATAGTAAGTCAGAAAATAATGAAAAGTAATGGTAAGGTTAAAAAGAGGCTTGAGTTAGACTTTCTACTTAATATAGCATAAGTAAAGAATTTTCAGCAAGGTTGGTAATACAATTAGTATTTGACCCTTACATACACTCAATTCTGGAAAAAATTTGCTAAGTTAATGAACACGCGAATCAATGTAAAATGTAATTCAGGAAGGATGATCAGAGGTCATATATAAGACAGATTTGAAATACGGAAAATACTCCAAGAAATATGTGAACAAATGTCTCAGGATTTTCAGAGAATCATGTTGGGCAATAATGAATAAATAGATGGAGATGAATAAATAGATGGAGAGAGACCAGTTAAGAGTTTACCTGTGATCATCTAGACAAAGTAACAAAATTGTAAACTGAATGGTAGTGGGACTATAAGGAGGATAAGAGATGACTTTAACACTGCAAAGGAAGAATCAACATATTGTATGGAGGTCGAAGAGAAGATTAAAGTCAAAAGCATTCATACTTTTATTAGTGACTTTAATTTTTTGTTTAAGATAGCCAATTTTCAATTTTTGAAGAGATGTGTAATTTAAAACAAACATAAAAATATAAACATTCCTAATATTGTGTCATTTTTATCAAATCAGAGATACCATCAATCTATTTCAAATTAAGTATATAACAACTCTTTTTGCTAACAAGCATATACAACAGCTGTGTACACCTCGTTTACTTGGAAGAGTTGTGAATTTGCTTATAAAACCTATAACCCAAAGTATTACATGTGCACACATGCATATATAACTATGCATAGGAACTAGTTTAAATAGCTATCTGCCTGGCGCAAAGGCAAAAGACCCAAACAGGTTTTATTAAAATAATGTTTCTTCATTAATGCAAAAGGGCACCTGTATCCCTATGTTTATAGCGGCACTATTTACAATAGGTAAGCTATGGAAACAACCCAAATGCCCAAAAATAGATGACTGGATCAAGAACATGAGGTACATATACACAATGGAGTATTACTCAGCTATCAAAAAAGATAAACTCATGCAATTTGCAGCAACATGGATGGAGCTGGAAGGGATCATGCTCAGTGAAATAAGCCAGAAAGAAAAAGAAAAATACTGGATGGTCTCACTCATAGCAGGAATTTAGAAAACCTAAATAAGGGACCAGGATCAAAGCAAGGGGGATGGGAATTGTATGGGGACTATAACCAAGATGAAAATGCATACATTGTGCAAAAATTAAAAATGATGTAAAAATATATAAAATAAAAAAATACATATTTTCCGGGGGTGGGGAGATAAATGTACCCATTAATAAAAAAAAAAAATCAATAAATGAAAACAATTTATTCTTTAACAAAATACCTATTCATTCATTTCCTAAAAATAAATGTTTAAAGGTATCTGGAGAAATAAAAAAATAATGTTTCTTAGTAAAAAAATACATGAAATCTCATCTTTGCAAAAACATGCATGGACCTTGAAGGAATTATGCTAAGTGAGAAAGGTATAAGACAAATACTACATGATTTCACTCATATGTGGAATATGAAGGGGAAAAAGCAATCTAACAAACAAAAGAAAAACAAAGACAAACCCTCAGACCCTTAGACTCTGACAACAGTATGATGGTTATCAGGGAAGAAGAGAGAGAGAGGGAATAAGTGGAGGGGGCCCATTGGTTGGTAACAGATGGTGACTGAACATCTGGTGGGCGTGGTGTGATAGACGCAGATGCTGAGATGAGAAACTGTACATGCAGAACCTATTCAGTATTGTAAACTAAAATTACCTAATTAAAAGAAAAAGATATAATGTTTCTCGGGAATACCTTTTCTAGAACTGGATGTTTTTACAGTCTATTCTAGCTCTGAAATTCTTTGACACTCTAATTAGAAACATAAAAACAGAAGCATAAAAACAAACACACAAATAGAATTTCATTATAGTTATTCTAACAAATAAAGTATTTTAGATAATCATTTAAAAATATTTACCAACTGTGTTAGCACTCTGACATCAAAAGAATGACTAGATGCTTGAACATTTCCCCTGGAAGATTTTTTCTGAAAAACATAAAAGTTAAAAAGCTACAGGAGATCAGAGTAAAACATAGAAGACCATATGGGAACTACCCTACATTTGCTAAGTAACTCAGGAAAGTCTTTTATTTGCTTTATTTTATCTTTTCTATAGATAACATTACTTTGTATATTCTCTATCAATTAGTGAGTATCTTAAAAACCTTTAATTCCCTACTTTCATTCCCCTAAAGCAAGGATTGGCAAACTATGGCTTGCAGGTCAAATCCAGACTACCATCAGTCTTTGTAAACAAAGGTTTATTGGAACACAATCAAGATTTCATTGCCATTTTGTCTGTGATGCTTCTGTAACAGCAGAGTTAACTACAAAAGAGACCAGATGATCCATAAAGTATGAAATAATTTACTATTTGGATTTTTACATAGAGTTCATTGACTCTTGCTCTAAAAGGAGATACAACCAATATTCGTCTTCCTTTAGGTCAAAGCTACTTTGGACATCTACACATACAGGACAGATTGTCACCTACAAAATGATATTATTAGTCTTCAAACTGTTATCAGAACAGAACAAAACATGCCTTTAAGTGGAGAGTTTTTAATTTGGAGGTTAAATAGAATTTAGGTAACATTTACTCCCTCAGGTTTAAGGATACAATTAATTTAGATATACTCTCCCATAATTTTCTGAGAATAATATTTGCCCTTTATTTTAAAAGACCTTAGAAATAAGAAGTTGATGAAAATTGTTTTCATAAAGCCAAGGGCTAAAGAACTAAACATAAGGCATCTTTTATTTTTCTTTAACCACAATTTCATAGGATGATTTCCTTTTAACTTACCTGTCCTTCTAATAGGTCACCATCTTCATCTTTAACTTGTCCATTAATCAAATAAACACCATTTTCTATTTGCTTGGCCCAGCGTGCTAGTCCAGTCTTAAAAGAAAGAGAACGAGAATATCTTTCAGGTATAATGCCATCTCAATTTAACGCCCTGGAGTCTACTTTTTTCCACCTAATATTCTGAAATATTAAAAATCCCTAAATATCAGCATTGTGGTATTTAAATTCAGTCTCATAAACAATTAAAAAGTTTAATCCCCAATTTTTGGCATCTCATACATTTTTAAACTAAGTTTTTCTAATATTTATCCCAAACTCACATTCATTTCACCAGACTTAAGAGGTTTACTAACTACACAACCATACTTGAATAAATGCTGTAATTCCCATTATCTTAAAAAAAAGTGATAAAAGAGAAAACACCTCAAAATAAAGTACCATTAAGAGGAAAAACAAACCTACTCCATTTGCCTTCTTTCATAGGAAAAAAGAAGAGAAATAAGTTGCAAATAAAATAACGGTATTAGAAAATTTAAAAATGAAAATTAAAAAAAAAATAGAAAATTTAAAAATGACTAACTGGGAAAGGGAAGAAAAAATTAAGACCAAGAGAAAGTAAAAAGACCAAATAGCATATTTTCTTGTATTTTAAATGTAAATTAACTATACTTAATAAGGATGGAGTAGCTGTTATGCTAAATACAGCTGTATTACGACACTCTCCCATCTCTATATAAATTTCTAATCTGGCTAGGGTAATATATCATAGTATAACAACATCATTGTAATTAGAATACAACTTTTGAGGATTATAAAATTAATAGTACAACCAGAATAAATGAAAAGAGATTGTCTATTTAATAATCACTAAAGAAAATTCATTTTACCCTGATACCTTTGTATTTTTTTCCAGAGTATAGCTGACAGAAGTAGAAGAGAGTGGTATGTGAATATTAATATGAACTGTACACTCTAAAGAAACCCATGAAGATGATAGTCCATTTTGATACTTCCAATCTGCTGGTTTGGCTGAACTCTTTAAGAGGAAAAACAAAAAATATGCGACTTAGGTAAAATACACAGATCACTAAAATACCATAAATATCAACCTAATAACTTATACAAACTGATATCTAAAATATCTGATCAAATTCCTTCAAGAAAGGGCAATAGCTTAGAACTGAATAAAACTAAGGCAAGCATTAAGTCATGTTGCCAAGCAGGTAACCTTGACAACTTCTTCCCACGGCAGTAGGCTAAAAGGGATCAGGCAGTTCCATGTTGAGAGTTCTGGCAAGTTCTCTGGTCTCCTCCAGCTCGTATGTGTTCTTCCACAGTCTTTTTTTTTTTTTTTTTTTTAATTAATTAATTAATTAATTAATTTATTTATACAAGCACTGGGTACAGTCAGAAGCGCGGGAGGGTGAGAGAATTCACCAGAGCCAGAGCGGGGAGCAGAGCAGGCAGAAGGACCAAAGTACACTGCTGAGGGGAGCAGCGGGCGGCAGGAGAGGTCTGCGCGCCATGTGGGACCCTCCTCCCGTGGCCGGGGAGCAGCCGGGGATCGAACCGGCGCTGCAGAGGCCGCGGGCAGCTTCGCAACCCAGCGCTCAACCGCTGCGCCACCGGGGAGGCCCTCTTCCACAGTCTTATAACTATCTGACTAATACTTGTGAGACATTCTCCTTTCTGTCCCTTCTTTGCTAACAAAATGCTGCAGTTACTTTTTCACATGTTTTTACATACCACAGCAATATGTTAGCCTGCTTCTAAGTACAGGTAGGCTGTATACTTGGCACTGTAGTAAGCAAAAGCCCACCTTTACCCCCAGTCTCTCAAATATAATACCTAATACACAAACAAGTTAGGGAGAGAGTAGCAAAAATAGTTTAACAGTTAAAAAAAAAAAAAGCTTTCCTTTCCTGTAATGAAATTAATCACATTTCAAAATAAAAAATTACAGGTGGTTGTGGATATCAATAGGAAGTGACAGCACTGAAATCATTAAAATTATTATTTCATGAAGATTATTAAACTAAATAGGAATTTAAATTTTATTAAAAACCAGTTTGTAACACAGAAAAATATTTAAACAGTAATTTTTCTTACCTTTGGATCATGAATATCATAAGTTCGACAAACTGTCCTTTACTAATTAAGGATAGAAATGGACAAAAAGAGAGGCAATTCTTGATAATCAAAGGAAAAAAATCATCAAAACATAAAGTGCATGCATTCAAGAACTTTTACAAATGCATATGACTGCATACATTTAAATGTATATGTACATACATGTATATACACAAGCATATAATGTTCATGTATGTGTTTGTACAAATAGATATAATTATGTGTATAAATGCACATGTGAATTGTCCTAGATAGTACTTGTAGTCATTTAAACTATTTCCTATTGCTTATAAATACTACTAATACATCAAATAGAATAGCAGCACCTCAAATATGTGCCCTCTGAAACAAATAGGAGTGCTGTTTTGAATAGAGCCAAGTCTGACAATGTTTATTGGGCCTGTACATGGAACTTTCTAGTTCATAACCAAAAGAGTTAAAATAAAAGCCCAGATCTTGCAGGAATGATCCCTTTTTGAATTCTGCCTTTTGGAAGACCTAATTTATTGAACCCTTGTCTTGCTGCACTCTTTGGTGAGACTGTCTCTTGCTTAGAAGTCACTATGGCAAGATGTAGAGGAAAAGAAACTATGTTACTGACTTTGTGTCACATGATCTTGTTCAAAGACAAGTATTTCTTGGACACTCCATACTGTCTATCCTGGTACACCTGTGCTTTGAATTGAGCATTTTACCTATAGGAATTAGAGCTGACATGTAACGTCATAAAAGCATTACTATACCAAAGTTGTCAGTCAGATGGGCACTTAACCTCTCTGCAGGAAATGTATGAGTTTCAACAGGAGCAGACAGCTAGTAAAGAATTCAGAATCTTGAGCCTTTTCTCAAATTCTTTACAACGCTGACATGATTAACAACCAATACCACTACTATTAGTAGTTCTAATTATATTATTTACAGTACAATTTATAAATCATTTTAAAAATGATTAAAATAAATGTTTAGGGGAAAAACTTGCAGGAACATATTTTGGTATTATATAAAACATAAACCCTAGATAAAAGATACTTTTTTGTAGAAGAGCAAATGTGAAGTGTCACTCGTTCTGAGACTTCCTCCTCTGTGAAGTCCCACAGCTTTTTTTTATTCATAGATTTTTCCACAGCAAATACAAGCTGAAAGAAAGAAAAGCACACATTAATTGAAAGTAAAATGATAGAAGAAAAGTGAGTGCAGAAACAGACATCTATAATGTTAAGCTCCCATTTAGCTTCAAAATTCTATCATTATATATTCCTTTCCTCAAAATAAGTACAACTGATTATTAGCCATTTGGACTTTAAGGATATAAAAAACTGGATTTTAATTTTAAATAGAAAAATACAATTCATGATATATGTAACACATAATTAATGATCAAATGACATGAAAAAGATTAAAAGTGAGAAAGATCAGAATGAATTATATAAATTTATGCTAGGATTAAGAATTATAAAAATGCATACTTGATTTGTGGAAAGAAGCCATAAATTTAACTCTAAGCTTTCCAACAATAATGCACTGAGAGAAAACTAGAGATTAGTTAAGAGAAATTTAAAGAAAATAAACTAATCTAATTCATATGATCTATATACTGAAAACAATTGCTCAGAAGAGGCATAACTTTCTTGATAATGACATCAAAAGAAAATTTTCAGACAAAAGTAATATAGGGAGCAAAGTTCTTAACAATAGGAGAGATCTTATAGGAGAGAGCATGACAAGTTTTACAGGGCTATTTTTTATTATGTCCCTCAATGCAGGTCAATGGAAAAGAGTTAGATAAGTGAAAAAAATTTCTAAAAATGTATTCTCAACTCTTATATGCTTCTTAGGAACAAAAACAATACAAAAGTAAAAAAAAGGAGCACCTGATTGCATCTCTAATACTGAAGCCACATTCACTCCACTCAATCCAGTACTAAACACAAAAGGATGCACAACCAGTGCCATTAAATACACAGATTTGGGATATATTTTGAAACACCAGAGGATGAACAATTGTGAAAGAGGTACATTTGACTAAAATGGAAAAAGTGGCAGAAAGGTGAATAACTTGCCAGGGGAGGGGAATTTCTCCATTTCTTCCAGTACTCCCCAAAGTACAAATGTCAAAGGCTAGAGAGAGGGATATGTGATAGATAAGAAGGTCACAAAACTGGGTGTGAAATACCTTCTTGAGGGCTCATGTGGATCTTGAGTGCTAAGAAATTAAAGTTGGCTAAGCAGTTTACTTTAGACTATAATTTAAGTGAAAAGAGCTTCTGGATTTCAAATTGACTTGTAGATTATTTTATCCAACTCTGATGTAGGAATTAAACAAAAAACACAGGGGATTCAGGATAGATACTCTGTCCAGGGATAAAAAGTAAGTATCGATTGGTTCTTTATGCCTTACTTTTAGGATACTGAGAAAATTCAACAGAAGGTGAGGAATTTTAAGACCTATTAATGTCATAGTATAGCAATCACTTGGAACCAAATGGAAGGTCTGGCAGAGTACTGCTACTGCACACACAAAAAACTGTTAAACAACTGTCACTTATTTCTTTTTTTTTAAACAAGTGGTTTCTTTTTTTTTGGCTTAAACATTTTTTTTTTAAAGATTTATTTATTTATTTATACAAGCACTGGGTACAGTCAGAAGCACGGGAGGGTGAGAGAATTCACCATAGTCAGAGCGGACAGCAGAGCAGGCAGACTGAGGAAGTACACTGCTGAGGGGAGCAGTGGGCGAGACAGGAGAGGTCTGTGCACCATGTGGGACCCTCACCCGGTGGCCAGGGATCAAACTGGTGCTGCAGAGGCTGCGAGCAGCTTTGCAACCCAGCGCTCAACCGCTGCACCACCAGGGAGGCCCACACTGTCACTTATTTCATAGTAACACAAAACTATCTTTAAAATAAAGACCATTTTAAAATATGTAGCTTTGATAAAAAATATAAACATTGACATTTGTTACACTCAAGATACCAAGCAATTTGATGGAAAAAGTTGTTTCAGTATAATCCCACCATAAAAAATTATGAAACATAAATCTAAATATGGCTAGGACTGGTATACATATGCATAATCAATTACAGTAGTAAGTAATTTAAGAATTTTTTACATATCAGACTTACTCTACGCAGGGCATTTTGAAAATCATTTCCCATTTCTAAAGTTGTAATAATAAATACTCCAAGAACTAAAAGTCCACCAGGTAACATTCTGGATACCTAAAAACAGAAACACAGAATAACATAAGCACCCACATTAAATAGAGTTGGAGAAACTATTAAATCAGCAAACACCAACTGAGCACTACAGCTATATTCAAAGCATTGAAGTGAAAAACTGGTTAAAATATCAAAAAATGAATGACAACTAAGATGAACGACATATTATTCTGAACACAATCTTCAAAGTGCCCTTAACTAAAACTATTGTATAAATATAACCACTTAATAATGATACCCTTCAGTTGCATTAATAAATATAAACCCCTTTCTCATGAGATCAAAGACTGAAATATCTTCTAAAATATTTTCAGTGGCTTCCACTATCAACTAAATAAAATATAAATTTTACCTTAAGACTAGCATTTCAGATTCTCTAAATGGCTACTCTGACATTCAGATTAGCTGGTGCTAATTTGATGCTATTTTCCCTAAACTATTCAAGCATCATTTAGAAACTTCTCACTGTTTTCTATACATATGCCTGGCCTTTCTGACTTTATACCTTCACTCAGGCTGCTCCCTCAGTCACAGCTACCTCTTACTTGTTTATGTGACTAGACTTATCAAGTACTTCAAAGTCAGCCTGAAGAATGCCTTCCTAATTCTTTCATCTCCAAACTCCAAACTTCCACAAGACTTTGACATAGTTTCCCCATGGAGCTTACCTACCACACAAGCCTGTTTACGTTATTATTACTGTTTACGTACCTTAGTAACAGGAATGGGAGGTCTTTTATGGGAGGAAGTGATTCTCAACTGGTCTTTTTTTTTTTTTTTTTTTTTTTGTGGCACCCTCACCAGTGGCCAGGGAACGAACCAGCACTGCAGAGGCTGCCGGCAGCCTCACAGCCCAGCACTCAACCACTGCTCCACCAGGGGAGGCCCTCAACTACTCTTATTCCTATAATATTTAGCAGAAATTCTATTACAGCCTAGAATTTGAACAGGGGAATCTGACTTGAAAATTTTATTACCTTCTATTGTTTAAGTTTCCCTCAATTTTTAAGGCTATTCACTGGTATTAGGCATTTATGCTATTTCCCATATTTCTTACACTAAAATAATATTGGTTAAAAATCCTTGTAAGTCCTTCTGTGTTCACAGAAGGAAGTAAGAACAACTTAAGATAAATTTCTTAAAGTGGATTACTGGGTCAAGAAATTATATATAGTTTTAAGATTTTTGATATATATTATGAATTTGTCCTACGTTTCCCTTCCCATGATTATGATAAGTTTTTAATGCCATAGGAATTTTTTCCTACCATCTATACACTGAGTTCAGAGTGCTTTGATTATTTTTTGTATATTTAATGTATGAGCAAACTGGTCGCAAAGCTGTCTCCAGAAAAATCAGATACCATAGTCTAACCCCTCTTTACTGTTGGATTCTTCTGATTTCATAAATTCTATTCATTGTTGTAACAAAAGCTTGGCATATAAAGAATAAAGGTTTATATTTAGCATGGGGAATGTGTATGTGTTTTCAAAGTCATCGATACATAAAACTGGTATTTTTTTTCTAGAGGCAAAAAGCTAATCTACCTTGCTTATAAATTGTGTGTACATACACATACATGTTTATGTGTCTGAAAGATTTAAAGTTGATTGCAGAAGGAAATTACTCTAATATTCCTTATCAAATAGTATAATCCAGTCAATAAATAGTTTCAAGCAAATAAATTTATCATTTCCTCTCACCCATCCCCAAATATGCTTCCTATTTATGTAACAGCAATATAATCTTCCTAAATACCCAGGTCAAAAATCTCAGTAATCTCTAGCTACTCTCCCACAATATCTCCTCATTCCCAATCTGCCTGATCATTAAACATTGTTAATACTAGCTTTTTCTTTGGAATGTTTTGACAATGATGCTTTAGCACATTCCATTTGTTGGTTTATTCACATATCCACTTATCCAATATCTTGGAATTCTCATTATAAACAATAAAAAAAAATACTGCAACTGGTACTAAGGCTACAGCTATAAACAAAACAGATGTGACACTTGCTTCATAAAGCTCAGCAACTAGCTTAGACTCACATCACCTTCTTTTGTACTACTGCTGAAATTATAGTCTGTTCTGTCTACAGTCACTCTATTCTCCATTTACTCAGTACCAAGAGATCAAGATTATTCTCTAAATTATTGATAGATCAATCAAATTAACTCCTCAAAATAGGGAGCTGTGAAGGGAACTACTATCTACTGAACAAATGTCTCGTATCTAAAAATGACACTCCAAAACTATGCAACAACTGGCACCTTAGGGTCTTAAGTCTAACAAATTCTTTTATATACCCCATATTTTAGTTATACACATACATACCTTTAGCTTTCATGCCTTTGGTTATACTGCCCTCAGTGCATCCAATGTGTTCCCTGAATTCTACTGGCAAAGACCTATTCATCCTTCAAGTTCAGAGCCCTCTGTGAAGCTGTCTGCAATTCAGCCACTGTCAAATATTTAATCAGTTCCCATTCCATTTTCCTATATTACTTTTTTACTTTTATCATATGTCTTATAATTGTTTTTGGTAATGAACTTTCGCTATCGTTAAAATGTAAGTTGTAAAAGGATATTTTTAAAAAATTTAACCATTTTATTCACTCAATGACTACCACTATGTCTTTAAAACAAGCTGACTAGCAACTACACTGTCAATTACTTGTATTCTAAGGTAAAAAAAACTTGGGAAAAAAAGAAAAAAGAAGAAAAATTGGAAATGAGCTAAATGACTTCTAACAGGAAATAGGCTAAAAAAAAAAAAAACACAAACAGCTATGCATAACAGATAAGATCTATTGCCAGGGTTCAAAATCCAACTGCTGCCATTTTTTCACTATTCAATCTTGGCTGGATTACCTAACTTTCAATAAAATGTTTATTTCTATTTAAATTAGACACAAGTAATCAACAAATAAAAAATATCACTATGGGTGAAACAGAATAAAAGGTAACATATTTTTGATAAGCCATGCAAATTTTAAAAATAAAGAGTACTCTGAAGTCCTAATCTAGACACCTGAGGATGAATTGGTATAATTTTGCTGGTCAAATAAACACAAACTTAACTACATAAGGAAACAAATAGGATGACCTGGTTAGCATGTTCTGTAGTCCACTCTTCATCCAAGTTATCCAATTTAGCTTTGGGTTGTTTGAGATTCTCATTTTGTTCCTCCTTGGGTGGTGTTCTAGTGGCAAGAATCACATAATCCTTTTGTGACGAACACTTAAAAACAAATTAGATAGTTTATTAGAGTGATAGCTAACTGAATATGGTAAGGCTTTTGTGACATAAAAAATAATGTATAGTATGTTAAATTGTTAATATCTATTAACAATTACAATGGAATCTACAAAGAAACCAATTTTCACAGGGAGTCTGACATTTCCTTCACAAGCTACTTCTCTCTTAATGCAGTTAATGCCATCAGCTCCTTATTTATTTGGGCATCCTGAATGTGAATCACAGTGTTTCTTAAAAATAATTTAGTAATGAGTGAATGAACTGCATTTAAACTGAAAGTATGCTCGGTCAATTCTCCATTTTGTGTTTGATTTTTAAAATATAACTCTAAAAGGATAATAAAATTTATTTAATTTCCTAAGTTCCCTCAATCCCTTTCCCTTCCTCTCCATGGAATAAACATAAAAAGAAATTCCTTAAGATGGGCACTATCACCCTGTAATAAAAATATATGAAAATGTTGTTACAAGTTTAAGAAGAATGTGAATTAAATTGTCAAAAGCTACTTTTGTGAAGAATTGGAAAACCAGGAATAATAAATATTAGAAGTGAGCAAAAAATACCTAGAAAAGATGAATAATCTGGTCAGTAAAATTTCTAATTATGGAGTTCCTACATTATAAATTACTTTTGCATGTCAAAGGCATTTTTACTTGAGCAAACCTAAGCTAGGTTAGTCCTACTTTTCCACATTGTTTTTCAAAATTTACTTTAAATTTACTAGTCTTACACCCATGTCTCCACCCCAACGATGAGTTTATGGTAAAATAGCTGACTTTACCTGCACTAAGATTCAGTTTGTTTTATCAAATGCACAGTGAAAGATACATACCTGTCCTATTAAAAGACCAGAAACAAAAGCCTTTCCTTGGAGATTGATGTTTGAAAGATACTGGCCAACGGTTTCATCGACAATGTAGGTTCTTCCCATTACTGAGAACTAATTTGAAATCCTAAAATACAAGAAAAAATATGTAGCTTTTTGGTAAAAATATAATTTACAATGTTTTTCTCATAAGAAAAGTATAATGACACACTCCATTTCTTGCAGAGATTGCTTATTAAATAGGGATATTTATCTTTATGAAGTTTAAGTGTGCTTCAGAATTCTCAACATAGTGTCACAGCAAACAACTATCAACCACCATTGACGGGAGAGGTGAAACCTTCTATTCCTGGGAGAAGGGAGAGGACACTAAACTAGCAGTCAATACCCCTGACTTCTTATTTCAGGTCTACTAGTCTTAGTTGTATCACCTTTGTACTGTGCTAAGCCTCAGTCTTCTGATTTCTAAAATAGGAAAGATGACCATATCTGATGTTCACTGGGAGGCAGAGGCACTCAAACTCATTTACTCGACAAGATTACACTAAAGAACTACTGTGTGAAATAAACTATGCCAGGGGATGGCAAAAAGACAAAAATAATGGATCTCTTCCCTTGAGTAACTCATAGTACAACAACAGTTATGAAAAGATAAATAACAATGGAATAATGAAATTTGTATAGCTCCTACTTGTTATAAGATATTGTTCTATATACGCTTTGAATTCAGTAACATTTAATATTCTCAAAACGGCCATGAGACAGATACTACTATTAATACCTCATTTTATAAAGAAATTGAAGAGAGGTAATACGCCTCGCCCAAGTTACAAAGCTTATAAATGCCAAAGGTTGTATTTAAATTGAAGCAATCTGGTTCTAGAATCTCTTCCCTTAAAAACACCATCTCCTAATGAATCTCTCAATGAAACCATTAGTATGGGTAACACCACCTCTGCTCTCTCTTCAGTTTGTGGATAAGAACCAGTACATTCCTCTTACTGGCTTAAACAACTCTGGTTTTCTGTAGCTTAAAATCAAAGATGCTGACTAAAGTTGCTGAGGTGGTATATCTGAAACCAATAAACTGCTAGTCACAATGAATTTGCATTACTCTAAAACTAAAGTTCACAGAATTGATCACGGTTTGAAATGGCCATCAGATACTGTTTTTTCAAGGAGTCCATTCTATTTTGTGTCAAAATGTACTGGATTTCTTTCTAGCTCTTTTCCAACAACAACACAAGTAAACTTGGTTTATATACCATTTTTTAAAAGGTGACTTACACACTCTGAAGAGAAACCAGAGTATCTTTTTTTTTAACACTAAGTCTAGAACTGTGTGCCTAGTTACTAATACCTCTATAAGGGCTTTCCACTTTCAGCTGTGCCTTAAGGAATGCATTTCCGTGTATTAATCTTTCTTCTACTTCATTATGCTAATCTGTATTTTTTGCTTCTGCCCTAATAATTCTTAATTTTTATAAAAAATACCAAGTGACAGTGACTCCAAAGCACTACATAACTTTCTTATCTTATTTCTTCCAGTATGTTCCCAATTAGCTATGATAATGTGTAAGAAATTGAATATAACTTGAAGATGAAAATCTATTGGGTTTGGAAATTTGGTTGAATGTCAGATAATTTCTTTAATGCTCCTTCAAAAATTTTAAATGTAGCCAATCATACTTTATAAAAATGTAGATCTTGTCTTACACAGTTAAAAGTTACCTGAAATGCTGTTTGCAAGTTGTACTGCAGTATAACTCAAGACAACTCAAACTTCCTGTATTCTTGGTTACCCAGTCTACAAAATAATTTGGAAAACTGCAGGCCTGCAAACCTATCTAATTTTAGGATTTTCTGAGTACAGAGTATCTGCTTTTCCCAATTGGTTGATCAATAATATTATATTGTGGACCTCAGATAGTAGAGAGCTGTACATATCAGCAAAATTATGTAAAATATTTCTGGGAAAAACCAACTTTAAGTTCCATACTGATATTCACAAAAGGCCTGCTACTGTGGGAGTTGCAGAGAGGACATTCCGAATGTTTTACTTTTTATAAAGAATTTAATCAATTCTTTTAGTGAAGTGAAAATATATTATTGAGCAAATGAATATAATAAAGACTCCAGCAGAACTTCCAGCCCAGGTGCAATGAACACTCCAATGCAGGCATAATTAACAAATTTGCTTACTTACAGCTCCTTCCCTTTCAAGATTCATGGCCAGGGCCTCAGCACTGTTATCTGCAAGGTCAGGCAGCCAACCAGCTGGTCTATCTCTCCAAGGCCATTCCCAAACGCCTGCATCTTTCCTCTCTTGCCTTGTCCCCCCACCCCTTGTCTGGGGACTTTGCCACAAATGGTTGTGTCTACTGAAAATGATGCTATCAATATAACAGATATAGACACAGTTGTGCATAAAGGAACCCTTGGTCAAACCGGTGCTCAGAACTTACAGGGCTACCCAGGTCTGGGACCTCATGCATGAGTAATAAAGCTTCTCCTGACCTCACCAGTCCTGAAGTACTCTGCCTGGGTAAAAGGCTAGAATTTATTTCTACAACATTAGAACATCAAACATGAAACAATCTATTGATTCAGTATGGAAGTCACAGAATTAAGGCCTGGAAACAAGTAGTTCTGTAGGATGGTGACAACGGTTTTTAAGAATGTGTTTAGCAACTTTCGTTACAGCCGGTTTTCAAATATTAACATAAAGGAACATGTTCTACAACGTTGTTACCTTTAAGTATGAAAACATGGGCTACACCCAAACCCCTGTGTTATTTAAGTCCTCCTGCTGAAAAATGAACCAGGCTCCTTAAATGCCTGTTGCATCAGCCGCCCATCAGAAAAAGGCAAGTCAGACTGGATTTGAGTGTGCACCGGAGTGTCTGTCCATATGTTTCCTTGGCTGTCCCTTTCTTCCTTGAAAAGAGAGCGCTCCATGCTCGAGTGCATACACACACCCCGCACTCACGTATCACTAGGGCTGACTCACCAGAATGTGCACGCCTGGTATATCTGTAGAGCTGTCAATCCGCTGGAGAAGGGGATTTAAAGCTCAAATACCAGCCTACAGGGTCCAGGTTCCCCCGACCCGATTCCACAGGCAATGAATTCATCAGAATGCGACGGACTTCCCTCACCTCACTTCCCAGGGCAAACCCGGGGTCTCCGGAGTTAGGTGGCTCAGGCTGATGACGCGAGAGTCCCCCTCCCTTCACCGCAGCGCCTCAGCCCAAGCCGCTGCGGTCGCCACCCCGCCCCCTTCCGGGCGCCATTGAGAGCGTGGCGGTAGCCCGGCGCCTGCCGTCCGGCCCTGCCGGGACCGATGCCCTCTAGTGGCTCAGTGTCTAGAAGCCGCCAAAGGGGACGACCTATGGCATCCCGGGGCTTTGAGGGTAAGGTCGTTCTGCTCTTCGGGGAGGGACATGGTTGACAAGTACTAAGTGGCGCCACCGCGCGGAGAGCAGTCACGCGGCATGGAGAGGAGAGTCGGGGGGCGGGGAGAAAGGAGGAAGTGGAACGGGAGGGGCGGCCTGGGCGCGTTGAAGGGATTGAGAAAAAGACTACGTTTCCCAGAAGTCTGCGAGGCGGTAGGGGACGGGGGGCCGGAACTCCGACTGCACCGCCGGGTCAGAGGCCGCGTCTGAACTCGGATTCCCAGCGTGCACAGCTTCCGGTCGCTGCGCGCACTCTGCAGACGCGGCGCTGCGTCGGCTGTCGCCTTTACGCGGGACTCGGTTTCCCAGGGTCCCGCCGCGGGAGTCTCCGGCGGGCTGGCGCGCGCGAAACCCCCGGCGAGGCGGCAGAGGCGACGGCCCAGGCTTCTGGGTCCAACTGGGCTCCCTCTCTCTTCTCCGTTGCTGCTTCGTCGGCCGCTGCCACCGCGGCTCTTGGCCCAGCCGACATGGCGGCAGTGCTGCAGCAAGTCCTGGAGCGGACGGAACTGAACAAGCTGCCCAAGTCCGTGCAGAACAAGCTAGAAAAGTTCCTTGCTGACCAACAATCCGAGATCGATGGGCTGAAGGGGCGGCACGAGAAATTTAAGGTGGAAAGCGGTAAGTACGACGCTCTTCCCGCCCTCGGCTCTGGCCCGGACTCGGTATCTCTGGACACTTTTGTCGCTCTGTAAGATCGCAACCCGTGACCTCAAGGGCGGCCTCTCTTTCCTGCCTCCCGGGCACCCTAGTCCTCACTCCCCCTCTACGCATTTGATAAGGAGCCTTTTTGTTTTAAAAAGCGGAATCCCTTTTTAAATGTAATTGGTATTCTCATATAGCGACCCCTAAATTGTCCCTATCCAGGACAGAAATGGTGACGATCTGGATGTGTTTTCACTGTTTTTTTTCCAGCCTGTCTGTCTTGTTGCACGTAATTTCCGCCGTTTTCTAGTCACCTGCGTTCAAAGACCTTTGTCTAACTGTCCGGTGCTTTTGTCTGAGTATGTGTCGCTCTGGGGCCGTAGCGACTTAGATGGTCCCCAAAAAGTAGATGAAGAATACCGCGCTAGAAACAGTCAACGTGCAGGAAATAAGCTTCATAAAACGGGTTTACCCCCCTGAAAGTTAGAGTTCGCTATAGAAAGTAAGTTAAGGCCTGTTTATAAATAGATGCAATAGATCCTCAAATAAGAAAGTGACTAACAGTAGTGAACATTCTTGAAAGAAGATTAAGAGTTTAGTAGTTACCATTTATGAAATAGAAACTTTCAGTTGTGTGTCTTGACTTACCAATTGTTTGGTGTTTTTTTAAACTGAATTTTGTTATTGATTAGAAATTCTGAATAAATTTTACTGCAAATAACATAATTGTCAAAGAGTTGATGGTGCAAATTTTCTTGAATCGCCAAACTGAATATATAGTACACTGCATTCTATAAAATTTATATAAGATACTGAGTGTCTCCTGTGTGTGTGATGAGCTACTACAATACTTTACTAAACTATGCAGAATTGGTCCCCATCCTGTGGGAAGTTAACACATTTTAACATAAATTCAATAATTTTATACTCTCAGGTATTATTTTGGCTATTTTAAAACAAGACTTTTAAAGAAAAAGTTTTTAATTTAAACAATTTTTGTCTCCATTTAATAAATACTTTTTTAAAAAGTCTGCTTTATACAGACATGTTGCCTCCTTTAAAAAATTTCATAATCTTGTGAGACTTGAAAGACTCTTATTAGGCCATACTTAGATGTTAGTTGGAAATCTTAAAGTGCTTTTCATTCCTTAAGCTGTCTTTACCCAATTTCTCTTGATTGTAGTGCAATTCGAGTGTTGTGTCTTAAATTTTGAAATCCTGTTTATTAAAAAACAGCAGTATTGACAATACAGGTTTGATTTTATTTTTTCTCTGCTCTCCTGTAGAACAACAGTACTTTGAGATAGAGAAGAGGTTGTCTCACAGTCAGGAGAGACTTGTGAATGAAACCCGAGAGTGCCAAGGCTTGCGGCTTGAGCTGGAGAAACTCAGTAAGTATTTAATTACATTTTTGTAGGTATTCTTGGAGTGCTGAGATCTTCAGATACTTCTTTGTATGCTTTGGAAATGCCTGTTTACTGTATATGAAAATACTGATTGTTACTGTTTTTGTTAATGGTGATTATTTTAATTTTTCATTTAATGGTAAAGACTTGGTAAGAACCTAGTGGTCATGAGACTTGGGTTCTGATTGTTTTATTAAAAGCTCAATACCATTGTAAATCATAAGTTTCTGTTGTTTATAAAATGTTTGTAATACCACCTGTTCATCTGTTTACACATCTGTACAGATCCAGTGAGCTGTTTAAAAGCATTTGCAAGGTCCATATATAACTGAAAAAGTAGAGTAACTTCATTTTTATGTTGTTAAAAAATTAGTTTATTCTATTTTATTTGTTTCAGTTTTCATACTTTTTACAAATATCTGTGAATCCCAGACTGATATTTCCTCTTTATGGCTTAGTTCTTTGTGAAAGATGATAGTTACCTCATAACTATCAGTAGTTTCTTCTTGATTAGTTTTCATGCATCATTAAACCATATAAGGTACACAGGATCTTTCGTAAAGGTCCTGACATTTCTTAGGAAGATGATGTGTAGTTCAGGCAGTTTGCAATGGAAAAGAGCAAATATCAGAAGAGGTCTTTATGGATTAAGGAAGTAGTAAATATTGTTCTTAAATATAGCTGGATTTTAATTTGACTTGAAACACAGGAAGCTAATAGTCAAGAAAATGGTTTAAATAGCACCTCTCTCTTAACTGGGAACACGTCCATTCATCTATTTATTTGGGTCATAGCATTTTCTAGCTAATTTTGACACCTCATCTTAAAACATATAATATATATGTCTGATGGTATGTTTACATGTGTAATGGGGGATGCATACTTAGTGACTAGCTAGATGTGATTCAGTATTTGTGTGTGTATGTGTGTGTGTGTGTGTGCGCGCGCGCCTTGGCATAATAAAAGGGCCTGTAGAGCAATGGTGCTAATGAATTTCAGGAAAATAACTGATTACAGTTGTTTTTATGAGCTTTGGAAGAGGAGAGAGAGGAAGAGATGGAGTAAATCTAGACTGACATCTAGGAGGCCTTTCTGTGGTATATAATTATGTTTGTTTTTGTTTTTTCAGCTTATTCTGGAATTTTGTCTGGAAAGCAATAAATAACATAAAGCAAAGTTTAGAGTACCATAGTATACTGAGTTTTCCTTTTAATAAACAATTGTCTAAATAGAATTTAAAATTGGAAATGGTAATAATGTGTTTGCTCATGAAATTGCTTGCATATAATATAAATGACATTTAGTGGAGAAAGTTTCAAAATGTATATTCATCCTAATTATTTGCGTATAATTGGAAGAGAAACTGTAGAATGGAAGACAGTCCATTAAGAAAGGATATTGTGGGGCTGATAATTGAATATCAAGTTTAACTTTTTTTTCTTAAAGCTCTCTCTTTCAGAGTGGTAAATGAACTGAATTAACATTTATCCATTATTTTGTTGTACTCATTTTATGTACTGTTATTATCTCTTGGTCTTTTCTTACTCAGTGTTCTTATTTTTAAATATAATTCATTTTTTCATGACTAATTTATTAAAGCTTTAATATTAAGAAAGTTGCTAGCTGCATATGGGCCTTCCTGTAAATGTTTGGCTATACGAATCACAAATGGGATTTTCAAGATAGGATATCATTTTTAGATTTAGTCAAGAAATACAATAAATTTAAGATGTATTTGCGACTATGAGAGTAGACTATTGTACAACTGTCTTTGAGCCTTGGTGTTTTAATTTTGAAATATATAACAGTTGGATAAAAGCTGTCAATGCAAGTTTGAAGCTAATATGTGTATATAAAATTCTTCTATCTAGACAGTCAACTGAAGGCACTGAGTGAAAAAAATAAAGAACTTGAAGTTGCTCAGGATCGCAATAGTTCCATTCAGGTCAGTTATTCCTATGCAGAAAATTGGTTGTAAACATGATACTTAAGGAGGTTTTCTATTCTGATTATACTTAATAGCTTTTTGAAAAAAGATTTATTTTATTTATTTATTTATTTAGTGCTGGGGTATAGGCCAGAGGTGCAGGGGGTACGAGGTTTCACCAGAGACAGAGTGGGGAACAGAACAGGTGGATTGACTGAAATATACTGCTGAGGGGAGCAGTGGGCAAGACAGGAGAGGTCTGCTGCGCCTATTACTCAATGGGAAGATAAAACATGTTCTCTTAATGAGAAGCTACTAACAAAAATAAAAGTATCCTTAATTGGGGCCTCCCCTGGTGGCGCAGCGGTTGAGCGCTGGGCTGTGAAGCTGCTCGCAGCCTCTGCAGTGCCAGTTCGATCCCCGGCCGCCGGCGAGGGTCCCAGATGGCGCAGCATACCTCTCCGGCCACGTCAGCCGCTCCCCTCAGCATTGTATTTCGTCAGTCTGCCTGTTCTGTTCCCACCTTGGCTCTGATGAATCCTCTCACCCTCCCGCGCTTCTGACTGTACCCAGTGCTAGTATAAATAAATAAATAAATCTTTTAAAGAAAAATCCTTAATTGGTTCCTTGTTTTATTGATTGGGCATTTCTTTTACTCATTAGAATATATTTGTGGTACATATTTTTAAAAAACACTTAACTATAGAGTTCTTATGCTGTGATTTATTTTTCATATTTGGAGCAAGGTGATATAGAAATAAAAGTAGGGTACACGTTCGGTGATCCACCTACCTACCCAGCCA